TTTCAGGCTTTTTTCGTGCAGGGTTAGGGTTTGGTGTTTTAGAACATAGTATAGAAGCCTTGGATGTGGCATTTGGGGGTTGAGGGGCCGAGGGTTTAGGATGGATACGTAGACAGATAGGTAGATAGATAGATAGACGGATAGATTTATCTACACATGCACACCTAAAACCCTCAAAAGCCCTACTGATGCCTAACTGGGCCGAAGCCCTAGGTTTTACCTAGAGGCTCATACCGTACCCCCTTTTTAGGAAGCTCAGTTTTCTGGTTATTAGGATCTGTTATCTTAAAAGGTAGGTGCCCTAAAAAAAGCGTAGGGTATGAGCCTCTAGGTGGATTTTACCCCACAGCCGGAGGCCGAAAGTCGGGACACCTTAGTGTCTGAAGGCCTGAAGCCCGAGCGCCCTGTTAAACCCCAAAGCCACAGAAAAAAAAACAAAACATTTAAAGCGAACAACCCCAAACCCTAAACCCTAAAGCCCTAAACATACACCCTAGACCCCATAAACTCCCTAAAGCCCTAAACCCCTAAACCCTCGACCTCTAAGCGCTTCATTCCCGAGGAACGCCAGGGCGAACTGCGCGAAGCATCTGCTTCGCTTCGGGATGCCTTGGCCCCGGCAGGGGCAATCGGCTCAGGGTTTTACGGAGTTAGGGTTTAGGGTTTAGGGTTTTACGGAGGAGGAGAACTGGGCTTGTTCAGTTCGGCAGATGGGTAGTTGTCAAAAGTCGGGTCCCTTTTTGGGTACCTTAAATAGTGGGTGCCGCATTCTAACTATTAGAGACCCAAAAAGGGGCCATAATTTTGATAACCGCCCAGATGAGTGTACAGAAGTTCTATCAGCAGACACCTGACTGCGCAGGTTCCTTTGGCATCCGAGTCCAACCCCAAGCTTGGAAACACTTATATCTTTAAGGCTCTTGGAGACTTTGTTACTTTGTTCCTTTTTTGGTTCCGGTCTTCTTTTATAGGGGTCTCCGAAAAAGTAGTTTTTTGCCTACCTTCCAAGGGGAGTAGAGATATGCACTTCCAGAGGGTTTAGGGTTTGTATAAGGGTCCAGGGCTTAGGGTCACAGAACCTACAAAAAGCTTCTGCGGATGCCCAGCGTAGTGGTGGTTGTGGTCCAGAACACCCTCGACATCGGCGGAGCCTAAAACTTGGCACTCTCACCAATTCCGACTCTCATTACTTCCCAGACCCCGGGAGGATCCAAAAAGTAGATCCCTTAATGAGGGTTCGTATAAAGTAAGCCCGCAAACCCTAAACCCCGAAACCCGCAGAAAGGTTTCTGCAGACTGGGTCATCGAAGATGAGCCGGAAAGACGGCTGCTGGTTGCAGAGGCCTGCGCCTTTGGGGCTCCTAGGGCGCTGATGGTATAAATCCGCCTCCTGTGGTTGATGATGTAAATCCTGGGGTTCCTTTAAAGGGATCTACAAGGGTACTTTTGAGGGGCTTCTTTAAGGGTTCTATAGGGTTATCAGGTTTCAGGGGTTAGGGATTTACCTTGATAAGATATATATATATATAGATATATATACCATAGTTCCCATAGTTTAGGGTCTCTAAAGTAATGCAGGAAATATATCATGAACCGTCGCACTGTAAGACTACGGGGTTGAGGGTTGTTGATTGTGGTTTTGGGTTGTTTAATGTAGGGGCCGAAATAATTACCAATACTATTTTGGGGGTTCCTTAGTATATTTGTCGTATAATGGGCCCCAAAACCATCTTTATCCTAATTATTAAGGCCCCTAATTGCTCTAGTAGATTTTGGGGCTTTTGCCACTTTCGAGCTGCAGAGTCTAGGGTTTAGGTTTAATGGCTTGTGGTTCTGTGTTTATGGCTTTAAGTCTTCATTACTTTAGTAGGTTTCCTTGGAGTAGGTTTTATAGGGCTTCGGGGTTAGGAGTTATGAGCTGCAGTGGTCAGGATGTCAAGGTGTGGGGCTTTAGGGTTTAGGGTCTAGGGTTTCTTGTTGCTTCAAGCCTGGTATGTGGTACATGCCGGCAAACACCATGACTACTGCGCACACCTGTGCCAGTACAGATGCATGAACACTTGCTTAGCCTTGCCTCCAATAGCCAATCTGTTGTTGTAATCACAGCATCTTCATTGCAGGAGGAATGCCAACGCACTCGCGCATCCATTGCCGAGTACGAACAGGCGTGGTGCCATTGTTCAAACTGATGTTAAGTTTGGCATTGGAGGTTTTAGTGCCTAAGTGCAGGTCTGACAACATGATGTTCTTTCCGGCTATCGGATATCGCACGGGGCCATGTGCATATACATTTCTAAGCATAGTGATGTATAGGTTCATACATACATACATATATGTATATGTAGATGTATATGTTTATGTTTATGTATATGTATATGTATATGTATATATGTATATGTATATGTATATGTATGTGTATATATATATATATACATGCGTGTATATATATATATATAGAGAGAGAGATCTACTATATGTGTACACCGACCAATAACGCAAATCCCATGTCTGAGCTGTACCACTTTGAGGGCAGCTCATGCCTGACTACAGGGTCCCGCCCCTTCTTGCTTTGGAGAGTTATCGTTTTGGGTCGGTCTTTGGTTCTGCGGTGCTGACATTACCCTCAGGCTTTTCTTAGGGTCCATGAACCCACATTTCAAAGTCCCCCAAAAAGGGGCCTCAACAATTATCTATACTATTTTGGTGGTTGCTTCGTATAATTACAGATAATATACCCCAAAACCCCTCTTCTAATGCTAAAGCCCCTATATTACAGCGGGATCATCTCAAGGCCAAAGCAGTGCATACGATATGAGCGCATGGGACGTTGTAGGGTCATGGAAGCTCCTCTGCCAAGACCGTCGCAGGCAGCTTTAAGCACGGGTCAGTTATCCGGGCTCTGGGCAGTTTGCGAGAGCAACATGGGAGCCACATTGTGCAGTAGCATACCCAGAGGCTCCATAATAGTTCCTTTTTGGGATGACCTTACAGGGTTTTATATATTAACCCCCAAAAGGAACTACTATGGGGCCTGTTGGTACCTTACATGGAGGAGTACTCCGCCTCCAAGCAGCTTGCTGATCGCCTTCGGGGGAGGTTGCGTGCCCACGAAGAGAGGAAGGAGGACAGCAGCTGCGGCGCTTTGGGGTTTAGGGTTTAGGGTTTAGTCTTGTTTTCCTGGTTCATCATGGAAGTTATTTCGGGTCGTAGCAAATCTAGACGTCGTGGATTGAGCATTTGGGGTTTCGGGTCGAGGGTTGGAGTCTCCAAGCCCTCAGTTCAGACATGTTTTCGGAGGAAGCCTCGGACGTCTTTAGTTAATGCCATGAACTTGCTCCTGTGATGGTTGCTATGACGAAGAAACTCTAAACTCGTAAGGAGGCATCCGCGAAGAACTCTGCCGCAGATGATTTGGCCAGGTGGCTTGGCAAAATGTAGAGCATTTGGGAAGTCCCGAAAACAGGGGACCCTCATATAGTACCCTAAATATAAGTAGGACCCTTATTACAAGGACCCCTAACTAAGGTACTCCCCCCCCCCCCTGGGCAACTCCCATTTGAGGCTCGAGCTCTAAATGAACACTGCGCAATGTGCACTGCGGGGTTGTAAAGGCTGCCTCTACAGGGTAGGCACTGCAATGCTTCAACAGTATAACAACATAAAACCATGACCATCCAGTTCATATAATACTAGCATCATGATGTTACAAATACCTATACACACACATACACTTATATATGCTTATGCTTATGCTTAATGTTAAGCTTTCTGTACTGCCCGAAGCTACATGCGATGCAGTGGTTTCAGCAGTCAGGTACCGGGAGAGTAGATAAGCAGGGCCACCCTGAATCCCTACATAAAGCGTAGACCCAGCAGCTTCTGCGCATTTCGTCTTTGTTGTAGACGAGTTTGACCCTTGAGGGTCTTCATGTTTATGGAGTGCTCCTGACATAGATACCTTGCCTTGCCAATTGCAGGGACACGGAATCTCGAGCCGCCCTAAACCTTAAACTGCCTTAAACCCCAGACCTTCAACCCTAATCCTACGGTTGATGATATAAATCCTGCCTGATCCATAATAAGGAATACTGCGGCCGTATAATTACCATAATTCCCATAGTCTAGGGTCCTTAAGGTAATGCAGGATTTATATCATCAACCGTAGGATTAGGGCTGACCGTAGGAGCCCTGAGTCCTCCAAGCCCCGGAGCCCCAAATCCCTGGGCCGTCAAAAGCCGTGCGGTTTAGGGTTTAGGGTTTAGGGTTTAGGGTTTAGGGTTTAGGGTTTAGACACTCAACACTATGGTTGATGATATAAATCCTGCAGTACCCATAATAAGGAATATATGGGAATTTTGGTATATCCTTATTATGGGTCATGCAGGATTTGTATATCATCAACAGTAAGCCCTGGGTCGGTCTCGAAATCCTCAGCACAGCTCTGAACCCGAATGTAGATCCCTTCTCCATCCTCGGCTCTGTTTTGAGGTTCCGGCTTAGAGTTTCAGGGTTTGGAGCTTTGGGGTTTCGGGTTAGGGTCTGATGTAAGTCACCCTTTCTTTAACGGCTTCTTTTAGGCCCTAATATTTAAAAGACTAGGATCCCGATCTAGATCGTAGTCCTTATAAAGGGAGGCAGGCTTGCCAGTCGGGGATCTACGTGAGTCAATCTGCAATTGCCGAGGCTGGCTACATCCACTGCGCGGCAGGACTTTCTGCCCAGCACCCCAAACCACCAGGGAGCCCTAAACCCTAAACCTGGCTCAAGGCCGTTACCTCTCGAGCCCAACCCCCGTAGACCAGGAACAAGCTTAGCGCCAAGCGTTCAGGGATTCCGGCCTGCGCAAGGGCGAGCTTGGATCTTCATCGAGAAGGGCGTGATTCGGGACCTCTCTGTGGTTACTCCTGCTCTCGGGCGAGTGTGAAACTTCATCGAGGAGGGCGAGTTTCGGGGCCGCTTTGTCGATTTTGTGGTCGTGGCGGTCACGTCTTGTGGACGACATGAATGATGCAGCCTGCGTGCCCATTGACGTGGACGGAGAAGATGCTGATCTTGAAGGGGGCGACCATTCCCCAACCGAGATCGCCGAGGAAGAGGATGAGGATAAGGACGTGGACAATAATGTGAACATTCCTCACGGACGGGGCGACGATCCTGGACAGCGTGGAGGTGATGAAATGCAGGTCGACATTCACTTGGGGGCCCTGGGTGAACTCAATGAAGGTGACCAACTTGGTGACGGAAGTGGAGGAGGAGAAAACAGGAAAAGAGGCCGAAGCCAGGTGAAACAAGAAACCGAACGAGAAGGCGAAGAAGGTGAGGAAGAGAGTCCATCGAAAAGAGCTTCTATTCTGGATTCAGCACCTGTCTCTGGGCGTGAACTTCGAGAACTTCTTGCGCTACATCTTCATGCGATGAAAGGACAGTTTGGGGACCGCCTGGACGAAGTACAAGTACAACAACAAAAACAACTGCAAGAGATCGACAACCTCAAGAAGAAGTCTGTCAAGAATGAGAAGGAGATCAAGGAAACCAAGGGCCGAACCACCGCAGCAGAAAAACACCTCCACGACTTGAAGGCCAAGGTAGAGCTACATGATGACCGCATCACTGAGGTCACTGCTTCCCTTGCACGCCTGCAGAGTGACCTCAACAGCAGATCATCGGGGACTAATGCGACTTCCACGGGGGTGAATTCAGGACCACAGTTCGACCCTTGGGCAAACTGGCGACAAAACCAGCCCAAGCTGCAGAAGCAAAATGGACACTTGCCACGAGCACAGATGGGTGACTTTGAGGAGAATGGCCAGCTCACGGAAGAAGAGAAGAGGACGCTGATCGTGGGAGGCTGGGCACAGGACACCAAAAAGTCTACCATTGAAGCGGAGGTCGATGAGCCAGTCTTGGCGGTGTTCGGACCCCGTCGCAGTGTGGGCAACTTGAAATTTGACTATCGACAGAATGAGAGTTTCCAAAGCTTGCGTGACAGAATGTGGAAGACCATGAAGGCGATCCGTGAAATGGCCATCCAGTTCCCGAGCACCAAGGACATTGTTGGGAGCAAGCCAGCCTGGGCGAGCTTCGTGAAAACCAAGGAAGCACGTCGCAGGACCATGCTCGTGAGCCAGGTACGCAGAGTCTGCATGCAACTCGCGATGGACAGCACTTCTGATCAGGGAGGACCGTGCAGACCAAACGCCATCAACGCGGAGAGCTATGACACTGACTGGGGCAATGGTACAGTGTGGCACGAAAGTCATAAGATTGCTTCTGCCACCCATCGCCAGCCGAATCCCAACACCTCGGTGATCCTCATGCCTGGGGGCTGGGTCGACCTCAAAGCGGTCATCGACGTCACTGGGTGTACGGAAACAGAGGCACGTGGTGCCTTTGAACGGGAGCTGTGAGTCGAACAGACGGCATGTTTCACACAAGACGCCGTGGCTACAAAGGGAGGGGGTGAAATGTCTAAGCCATTCTCACTTCCCTCACGGACGTGTGGAAAACACGTGGCAAGCCGGGTGTCCCAATGGAATTTGGGAGGGCAGGATGTCAAAACACTTGATGTCGTGCTGCATGGATGTGATTTCGTTTGTGCACAAGAAGTTGCAAGGAATGATGCAGGGTGGCGGGAGGAAAATGACGACATCTTTTATTGGCTACATCATCGACACGACAAACAGTACAGGGGTGTGGCTGTTGGCTTTGCCCATGACCTGCTGGACTGTATCATTGAGAAGGTTGCATGTGAAAGGGGAATCTGGGTGTTGGCGCGCATCAAGGGCCTGGGGCGAGTTGTCTTCGGAAGCCTACATGCGCATACGGGCACAACCCACGGAGTTTACAAGGCAGCGATCCAGGAGTTCTTTGCGAAGTTCAAAAACAAGTGGCGACAGTGGCCTATCATCCTCGGCGTTGATGCAAATGAGCAGCCCACTTGGGATCCACAAGAAGACGGGACCGTCAATGTCATTGAGATGAGTCTCAACTTACAAAGTTTGACGCACGAGGCCTTCACCGTCGGTCTTCGAGCAGTTGCACCAGGAGCTGATCAACTTCAAACACCGACTCATTACCCGCGAGACGAAACGAGACAGGGCAGGCAGATTGACATGGTCTTTGTTAAGCAGGTGATCACGAAGAACGTCGAGATCAACCCGGAACTTCGTCACTGCATTGGCTCTGATCATGCTTGCCTTCAAGTTCTTCTCCCTCAACGACGAGCAGTGCGACAAGCATGGGGCAATGACTCTCGACCTCGGCGACTTATTTCGGAGGTCGGCCCACATGAGGTCATCGTTGACGTGGAGGATGTGTGCAAATTGGCCAAGTCTCACACAGCCCCGATCCCATATACCAAGTACGAGGATCCACCAGAGCTGAAGGACATGATACAGAGGGCGAGGAGCTCCAATGACAGGACACTGTGGAAGAAAGTGCATGACAGCCGACGAAAACATCGGAGAAGATGGAAAAAGGAGCGACTTGAAAAAGCACTACAAGGTGACTGGGGTGCATTCAGGGCGCACCAAAGAGACAGACGTCGCACCAAAGGGTGGTGGGGGCGACTTTTGCAGGACCTTACCTCCGAGCAAGTGACTCATAGGGTACAACAACACCTTGAAGAGAAGCTGGTGAACAAGAACCTACCTGATTGGAGTCATGATCTCTGGGAACAAATTCAACAAGTACCTCTACCACAAGCCTGGGTGCCTGCTACGAGGGAGGAATTATGTGAGGAAGTCAACAAGATGAAACGAAATGTATCGGTTGGCCCCGATGGGATCAGCGTTGACCTTCTGGTGCACCTCCTCTACAACCCCGAGCTTGGACAACAACTCACTGACCTGGTGAACCACATTATCTCTACCAATGAACAACAACATGAGTGGGGGGTGTCTTTTCTCGCATTATTGGCCAAGTGCACGATACCAGAAGAGCCGAAGGATCTGAGACCTATTTGCATGTCCTCGTCCTTTTCCAAATTGGTTAACAGGGTGATCATCGGGCGACTTTTCCCCACTTTGAGAAGAGGCTCGAAGATCTCCTCGTGCGGGCGAGGCCGCCAGTCAGCTGATCTCATCGGCAGCCTATCAAGAATCCGTGACGTGGTGCGCGAGTGGGATGAGAGCATCCTGGTCGTGAAGCTTGACATTGCAGGAGCATTTGATAAGATCTCCCGTCAGAAAGTAGTCGACCTTATCCTGGCAAGAACTGCAGGAACCAATTTGGGTTATGAAGTCAGATATCTGCTGGGACAGTTAGACGTTTTCGTGCTGCAGGGCAAGGTCCCGGGGGGTGATACAATCTCTGTTAACGCCAACTCCGGGATTAAGCAGGGTGCACCGGAGTCGGCGGAACTCTTCGGCCTCATCATGGGATGGATTCTGGATGAGACGATGAGCAAACCGGCGTGGCAAGCTGTTGGGGCGCCATTTCATGATCTTGATCTCGAACTCATGTACTTTCAGGACGATGTCTTCCTTCTGGAAACCTCTGCCGCCAGAGTAGCAAGGAAGATTGAAATGCTGAAGGGTGAGTTAGCACAAGCTGGGCTCTTCCTTGCAATGAACAAAACGAAGATTGTGGCCTCCCCAGCTTACCATGGGAAAATGTCTCTAGTGATTGATGGCCAAGTCGTCGAGATCTACAAGAACGAATCTCTGCGTGCTCTAGGGGTGTCCTTCAATTTCTCAGCCTCTGTTGGACAACAGGCGCATGAACTCCTGGGCAGAGCACGTGCTGCCTTTGCTGAACATCGTGAACTTCTGATGTCGAGAGGGTCCTGGGAGAAAAAGCTTTCGTTGGTAGAAACACTGATTATGTCTACGTGGCGGTGGTGTGCTGGAGCCATTCACTGGCCCCAGGAGTGTCTTGCGCAGGCGAACACACTTCAAGCGCACATTCTGCGCACTGCCTTCCGACTTCGCAGAGGACGTGGGGAGGATTGGGTCGCGTACAACTCTAGAACGCTGCGGTTCGTCAGACAGTTCCTCGTTCAACGCCATGTACCTAGGTGGAGCTCTGTGATCCTCAGGCTGCAACATGCCCTTCACGGCCACTGGGCGAGGAGGGTTGAAACTTTTGGTCCGCATGGGCAAGCCTGTCTCAACATCAGCATGCGCGCGATCACTTGGCGCGATCTTCGATGGTGGCGTGGAGAACAAGCCAAGACCACTACAGGCCGCAAACACCCCAGGCCGTTCTATGCGTGCAATCCTGAGAGGAACATTGCTGAAAGTATTGGCACGTCGTGGGCGAACATCGCCCTGGATCGAGCCAAATGGAGTGCAACACTGTCTGTCTTCCTTGCAAAACAAGATGTGCGATGGTGTCGTGGTAGGCAACTTGCACTTGAACAGTAAGCGGTGTCCATCATGAGGTCGTCACTGGGTGTCTCAATCCGGAATGAAACTGAGCGGGTTCGCTGAGCTGACCGAGTTGATTGGGGGAAGCAGTGGCTCGAAGATGGACGCCAACTTCATGGAACCAGCAGAACAACTTGAAATTCCACGTTGCGAGATGAACCTTTGTCTCTTACTACCTTGTCGTTGTGATAAACCTTTTCTCTGTGTTCGACTTCACCGTTAGCTCCGCCCTTCGTCTGACGCCATGGCGAGTGGGCGGCTCCGTTGGTTTTCGCCGTTCGTGGCGATGTGGTTGGGGCGACTTCTGGCTACGTCCTTTGCTACGAGTACACCCCAGGCGGTTGTGGCCACCAGATGGGTCGAAGATGGCTGGGAAACTACCTGGACACCACCTGTTGGAGTTGAAGAAGAAGGGTGGGAAGAAGCATGGGGTGATCACCATACTCCTGCACTACCTGAGCTACCTGAACCTGCCCTTTCTGTACCACCGGGAGAAGATGCAGACCCGGGACTTTCGGTACCACCGGCAGAAGTTGGACAGATACCTGAAGGCAATGTTCCGGGAGAAGCTGACCTGCTACCTCAAGGTCATGAACATGTCGAGGCACCACCGGGAGAAGATCCGGATCCGGGACTTTCGGTACCACCGGCAGAAGTTGGACAGATACCTGAAGGCAATGTTCCGGGAAAAGCTGGCCTGCCACCTCAAGGTCATGAACATGTCGAGGCATCACGGACAGGAGAACCACCTGCTGTACTACCTCAGCATGCGGCCCTACCTGTACTTCCGGAACAAGCACAACAGCATGCATATCCACATGGTACAGGTGTTGGCCAGCTGGATGAGGAAAATAATCAAGACCAAGACCATATGGAGCAACATATCGAAGCCAACTCAGATGTTCTACCTGCACCACCGGCACAAGCACTACAACTACCTCAGGGCGACGTTCACCGAGCCGAACCTGCTGTACTGCCTGGACCAACCGTTCTACCTGCACCACCTGCACAAGTACTACAGCTACCTCAGGGTGACGATCATGATCGAGCTGACCATGCTGAACTACCTGGACCAGCCATTCTACGTGTACCCCCAGGACAAGCACCACAGCGAGTACGAGCTGGTGATGATGATCAAGCCCAACCTGCCGCGCTATCTACTCCTTCTTCTCTACCACATGATACCGGACTCGAGGATGCACCACAGGATGAGGAGGGATGGATCAAACGTGGAGGTCGCTGGCGCCCTGGTATCGACAGGTGGCACTACAGGAACGGGTCGCTCAAGCCTCCGTTGGCAAACAAACCACCTGCAGGGGTGACTTCCTGGCCTCCTGAGACATCGGCACCTCAAGAAAACTGTGCTTCCACTTCGTCGGGGTCCAAAACTGGGGCGACTTCTTCTGCATCTGGCCTTCGGACCACGAACTCTGGCTATCAGTATCGCGCGTTCGACTTTACGAAGCCCTCGCCACCTATGCCCTCGAGTTCGTCAAGCTCTGCGCATGAAGCAGTGGGGTTCTGGTCACAGGGACAATTCGTACCACGAGCTCGCACACCAGCTGAACAAAGGAATCATGACGGAGGACAGGGGAGAAAGCGACAAGAGCGAAGGGCCAAACGTGTCCAAGACTGGAAAGAGGGAAATTGGAGGCCAGCTTGGCTTCTACAATATCAACGTGATAAACAACAACGAGAGGCAGCAAGGGTCAATGCAGGGTCGGTGCTTCAGCAAGGGACAGATACATCGGGACCTTGCGGCATGGCCTGGGGACCGGAAATCTTTGGACCTGATCGATGCCGAGCTGCTTATGATGATGACGTGATCTTGAGCAGTGAACGACTACACTGGGGTGACTTTGACATTATGTCTTCCACTTCTACAACAACGAGCTATGACGCCGAAGATGTGGATGAGGAGGTGAACTTCATGCAAATGCGGAATCATGAAGAAGCTGACTTACGACAGTTGAGGATGCCTGAGGATCAACTTCAGCGCTTGGAAAACTTGTTGAGGGGTCTGGCAGATCACCAGGAGTCTGGACGAGGTCCTACTGCACGTTGGGCCTTGGCCTGCCTCATCAGACGAGCCTACCATGTACAAGACCTTTTGGAGCTGTATATCAGGATCCTGCAAAGGAGACTACAACCTCAGGGATACTGGCCAATTGTACGTGTTCCTCGACAAGGACATCAAGCCTCGCACATCTTCAGTTGGGCGAGACAATTTGGCACCATCATGAGACATTGTGTTGAAGAATGCCTACAGCTCCCACTGGACTTGAATGACTTCGAAGATGCCGACCAGCTTCAACCAGTACCATCGTCGTCGTCCGAAGTACTGGACTCGGGCTCGTCGTTTACAAGTGGAGGCCCAGGAGGCACCACTTCGTCACAAAGAACGCGAAGTAGGAGTCCAAGTTCCAGAAGACCGGCAACACGACGGACGACCAGACACGCCTCTTCGTCGGTCACCATGCATAGTGAAGAGGATGAGAGTGTGAACACCACCACCCAGGTCCTTCTTGATCCTGGGGAACTGCTGGGAATATGGAGAGAGTATACTGAGGAAGAAGATACGACACTGGGGGCGAGTATGGCATCGGGAAGCAATGACCCTCAAGCTACGACACCGGGGGCGAGTTTGGCATCGGGAAGCACTGAACCCCGTCCTGTTCTGTCAGATCCTCCCGCAGTGGGATCTGAACCCTCTGCAATTGAGGGCGAGAATGAGGATGATAGGTGTGCTGAGGAAGACGTGGTTGAGGATGAAGTCAGTGGGATCCAGCTGGAGATGGAGATGATCTCTCTCACGAGTACTACTACAGGGGTGACTTTGGGGTTGGATGTCTGTACTTCACCTACGACGAGTTTGACCTCTACGACACTTACAAGGGTGACTTCGTGGTTGGATGCCTGCACTTTGTCTACGACGAGTTCGACCTCTACGACAACTGTGTACACTGGACAAGATGAGGTACGAGATGCAGTTAATGCACAATTGGTACAGGGAGCTAGAGTCGCAGGGGAACGTGATCCTGACTTCTTTGCCACCCCTGTGGACGCTGATGATTTTGCTCATGTCCTCATGCAACCCAATCTTCCTGGACCTGATGAGATGCCCAATCTGGCGCCACATGTGCCCCAGTCTTCATGGGGTACTATGCGCAGACGCTTGTGGCAACATCACATGGCTGGATATGGACAAGCTCTTCAGGCTCCACCGTCCGGTGCGAGCCCCAGCCTCTACATGGTCCAGGCGTTTGACAATGTCATGGTTGACACAACTGGGTTAGAAAGTGAACTTCCTCGAGAAACGGGGCATGAGTGGCAGGTGCACGGTGTCACTACACGTCGACGTGGACACAGACCTCGTCCTCCTACACGGCATCGTGAGCCACGTGATCACCGTGCAGTACACCGTCGGTCTCAAGATCAACCTGTTCAACCAGTGGGAAACACACCTCTACATCGTCGTCGTCGTGGGGCCAGTGGAAGACGTCGTGCACGGGCTCCTGTACAACAACATCGTGAAAGAAGTCGAAGCCGTGATGAGTGAGTATGCTAACGGTGAGTGTTTGTTTTCCTTTCATTTTGGAGTGCACGCCTGAACCGGGCGGGCTGGCGAGTAATCAAAAGTCCGATGCACTTTTAAAAAAAAAACCCTAAACCCTAAACCCAGGAGACAACGGGAGGCTTACCAGATCTTTGCAGAGAGTAATTGGGGGGAGGCTTGGGGCTTAGGATGTCGCGTGTCTGCAACTGTCTGTAAAAGGCCGCAAACAATAAGCCCCATTACGAAACTAGAACCGCAAGCCTGTATTTTGCACCAAAGACCCTTCAGGCATGGCTGTGGGGATTTTACAATTCGAGGGTTGCCTTCATTTGAAAGCTCCTACGGGCGCCTTAGTGGACATAGTGGTCCTTTTTCAAGTCCATGGTTCTCATCAGGATTGTACGCGTGTGGTTCCAAGAGGGCCCATATATACTACTTTTGCGGGAACTGATAGGGATGGCATTTGGGACCTAATTCCAGGATGGTAGTATGTATGGACCCTAATACTGGAGTTTAATTGTCCCTACAGAAGCACTAGGCGGCAGCCTTGTCGCCAGGAGCTTGAGAACGTCCGCCACGAAGCTCGGTGTATTATCTCCAGATGCTCTAAAGATTGGGGGTGGCTAGACCCTTATAAACTCTAAACCCTTTCCATAAGACTTCTGTGGCTTCTGATGGGGCTTTAGAATCGTGCCTGCGACTCCCCGTCTTGACTGCCTGAAGGCCGAAAACAGAGCCGAACTTGAGTCCTCACAGAGGCTCCACAGTCATCACGAATCGCAGCATCGGTTGTTTTCGAGCACACCTTCCCTGTGGAGAGCATGAGATGGGCATGCCCACAGAACCAAAGGTGTATGGAAACCCTCTAGACCCCAAGGCCCAGGTCTACATCAGGTCGTCCTCCTGGGTCTTTCGCATAGAAAGAGTTCGCTGCAGCCATCCGTAGAATGAGCAGACCGCAGTATCGAAGCGTCCTCACAGTTCAAAGGGTGGTCTACCGCGTTTGAGCGGATGCGCGTTGTCTTCTTGAGGGTTCGGGCTCTGCATTTTTCCGTGAGAGATGTGGTTGTTGGTGCTGGCTATTCGTTGTTTGCTTGCCCTCGTATTCGTTTGTACTGCTGGTTCAGAGTGGACTTTGCGGCCTCCTGTGAATCCATCCAAGGGCTTCTTGCAGGTGCATTAGGCTTTAGGGTTTGGGGGATGATCCCTGACCATTTAGGCATGAGACAAGATGGTGAAGCAGTGACTGTACCCGTTTGGAAGTTGCTGAAGCTGCTGAGGTTCTTACATTACAGCCCGCACCCTTCCCATATCCACCTGCGACTTGTCGTACTTCCCCCATGGGTCTTAATTAATTATCTACATAGTAGAAAGTAGGATGTCTAGAGTAATTAGGGAAGTGTTATTGTTTGGTTCATTATGGTAGGAATTGTTATGATGGTTCGGGTAGGTTTTCCCCAGAATTAAAAGTACTTCGGACCCTTTCGGTTCACAGCCAGAGCCCAACATTGCAACGCGAGTGCCAAAGCAAAAGTAAGCCGGAGAATCCAAATCTGAAGCATCTACAGTACCTTTTACACCCTAAACCCCTAAAAACTAAACCCCTAAGCCATAAACCTACCTATAGTCTCCCTTGTCATTCCTTTTTGGGGTTAATTACCTCTTAGGATTGTTTCTGAAGACTGGTTAATCCAAAGACGATGCAATAGAGATTGTAGACAAAGTCTTGACTTCTGCACGAAGTTTGTTGTCCAACTGACCAGCCTGCAAACCTCAAGAACAAACACACCGAAACCCTTGTGCCTAAGGCTCGATACCCTTAACCCCTAAACCCTAAACCGTAAACCCCTAAACCCTAAACCCCTAAACCCTAAACCCCTAAACTCGAGCGAGGCCCTGTTTAGCTGGCGGCTAGCCAGCAGGCCAAAGCGAGCCCGCCGAGCCTCTGGCGACGGCCACCGAGATCAGCGCAGCGACAGTCTGGCTGAACGAGGGGGATCCGGTCTCTTGCGCGAAAAAGAGTTAGCTTCGAGTGCCTTGCTGCATTTTTACAGCGTGAAAGGCTTCACAGGCCGTAAAGGCCTTTATATTGTATTACCCTAAAGCCCTCGACCCCTAAACCTACATGAAAGGACCGCTAAAAAATGCACCCGAATGCCTCTCACATCCTAAAACGCCGAGCCGCTTAGATCCTAAAATCCTAGGCCCCGAAAAGCCTAAAATCCTATCCCCAAAAACCCTAAAATCCTAAAGCGGCAGGGCCCCAAAAAACTTAAAATCCTAATCCCAAAAGACCTAACATCCTAAAGCGACAGGAACCATAGAAAACCTGAAGCACCAAGAATCCTGACTATCGCTAAATTCACCAAAATGTAAAGCCCAAACCTCCTAAGCTCGATATACGCGTCGGCCCCTGAGCGCTGAACTCTTGCAGCTCTCACAATCCTGCATGTGCTAGTCCTGAAGACCGCTGATCACACCCTGGCTCGGCCGTCCGGTCCTTGTCCACACCCATGTGGTATCCAAAGGATTTCGTCTGCAGCGAACGCACAGGGCCTGAGAGGCTTGGCTGAAGACATCGGGGCAGCCCTGTCCGCCCCGCTTCCTCAAAGAATTCCGCAGCTGTTCCTCACCTCGCGATTTTCCTGATGCCCTTTTTTGGCTAGCGCAATCGGCCCAAGTAACTCAGCACATCACGTCTGTCCTCCTGTCGGACAAGATGGCGCTGCAGGACGATCGGCGCCGGCTTTTTCTCTACTGCTGCCT